TCAACTATAACTATAACTTTTATTACCATACTGATCAGACAAAACGAAATAAAAATAAAAAAAATAAATAAAAATAATTATATTTTAAGCAAAGAAAAGGCTTAGAGTATAAGAAATGAGCATAAGAAATGCTACAATGTCATCAGTTGTAGGTCAATTCTGCTCAAACCGGTGCTCCCTCTTGTCACAATTTAACAATTCGGGCTAATAAAGAGAAGGATAATACAGTCAACCATAAGAAGAGCACCAAAGGTTAAATGGATAAAAAGGAATTATGGGCAAATTGCATACTGACCAAAGCCAGGCACATATTGTGCGATTCTTGCCTATTTCAAGTACAATTTGGTCATGGTCAGCTAAATTTTATGATCATGGCCAAATTTCAGCTCAATTGGCTGTCCTTTTGATGTTCAATGTGAGGAAGGTAGGAACACCCAAGTAACTGGCCAGACGAGCTCTGACTGAATCAGACATTAGGATGGATTTCCAACAGGCCAGGGCATTGAGGCCATCACTGACGACAAAGTGACAACACATGCCTGTGATGGTGATGCCTCACTCCCAGACACATTATGCTATACAGTTTGTAGCACAGAACAACCAGCCAGCATGGAAGACCACCCCTTCTCCCTCTGACCAAATCTTTAGTCGATCCACGTTAGACGTTAGTACAACCATATCCAGAGATGACCCTTGGCAGGCTGCTGGCCATGACAACATAACTGGCCGGGTGCTCAGTACATCAGCTTGCAGATGTCCTAACCAACATATTCAACATATTCAACATTTCTCTGAGCCAGGCAGTCCCAGAGTGCTTCAAAACAACTACCATCATCCCCGTGTGCACATCACTGATGACCTCACCTGAACCCTCAACACCACCTACCTAGCCTAGCATTGCAGACAACCCTCCCACCTCTTGCATAGACTCTTCATCCTCTTTCCATCTGGATGCATTTGTTCCATCACGTCCAGATTCTGCAACAGCTTCTTTCCCGAGGCAATCAAATTACTGAATGCACTGATGCCTCCAAACATCCACCTGAACTAACAGCTCACAGCATCAAGCCCGATGACAGCAGCAGTAGCACTCCACTCAGCTACTATCTGCTTTCTCTGATGTGCACTGCTTCATCAATACTCTCTCACCAGGCTCCAGCTAGGCTCCACTGCCAAGCCTCACCACGTTGTTTTCTTTGCTGTCTTTCACCTTGCTCTTGCTGGCTTGACCAGTTTAGCAGAGGGCAAGCGTAGTGCTTGATACCCCCTTCCTTCTGTGCTATGTCCTCTTCACCATCCTCCTTTGAGTTCATTGACACAGCACTCGATATCTTCAAACTTGCTGGCCACATCCCACCTCTGACACCAATGTAAGCTATCTAAACTCCCCCTGGCAGCACAGCCCATGGCAGATGCCACAATATGTCTTTGTGTATATACACGTATATGATGGTCATTTGTATTGTTTTGTTGTCCTGGTTAGTATTTGTCATGTGTATCTATTGTTCTGCATATTTACTGTCTGGTGTATTTAATGTAGTCCTGTGTGATGTGCTGCTGTTGTGTGTTGCACTATGGGGCCTGAAGAATGACTTTTTTTTCCCCCAATGTATACAAATTAGATTTATAATAAAAACCACTTGATTTGATAAAAATTTGGTCATTTTCAGATTAAATTAATGCTCAGCAGTCTCCAAGTAACACATAAACGGCATATCAATGACGCAGCAGCCATGGATACGTTCAGTAAATTATCAAAAGATCTTTAACTGCAGAAATAAAATTTATTTATAATCTGCTTAACTGAGTATTTGGGTGATTCCAACATGTTTAAAACTCCAAACCTTGTGCACAGTAGCTAAAATCATTTTACCACACAAAGTATAAAGAGATAAAAAGAAATCCATGTTCATGCCTGTCTCTAAGCGCCAGCTCCAGGTAACCTTGTCAAGCCTGTGATGAACCACACCCAAGCCAAGACAGTGCAGTGTGATTCATCTCACCTGATATCAGAGGGGAGGCTTCGTAAGTTAAAGAGAGGTCTCATTGTTTTGTGGCAGTGCTGGTCACATTCTGCATGACTATTGGGCTTGTCTGCACAGACCTGAGCAAGTTCCTTTTCCCTTATCACCAAGCCTATTAAAATAGCCACTGGCACCCTACATACTGAACATATCACATTTCTTGCGCAAGACTCCTCTGAATTTTCAGTTAAACATGACCATTTTATTTCTTGGTCAGATCAAGAGATGTTGTCATGGTCATCATTTTGCCATGAGAATTGTTAAGTTACTATTCTTTGCTGTCAGATCAACTTCCATAGAGAGCCCTGTCGCTGATGTTGAAGTCAAAACTCCTCCTGAATACGCAGACCTCCAGGAAGTCATAAGCAAGCATAATGCCACTAAGCTTCCTTCTCACCACTCATGCTTTAGTTCTACTCCAAGATGCCGCCTAAGACAGTGACACTCGTAGGGAGCTCTGAGTTTTGTTTGTTTTTGTGTGTCTTGTTCCATCTTAACCAATCTCACTCACATAGAATGCTAAAGATCTGCTGAACACCAGGCAGTCCGTGCCACAAGGCATCAGCTTTCAGACTGCTTTTTGGACATTTTAGCAAGCAGAGTGGCTGTTCTGTACAGCAGACGCAAACACAGACGGACACGCAGGTGGGGGACGTGTGCTGGAGCGCTGGTTAAACTCAGACAGCACAGAGCTCAAACACACAGACTCTGTTTTTATCATTTTAGAGGACTTAAACAAAATGCGACTCAGCAGCAAACTGACTAAATACAGACAGCATGTTACCTGCTCCACCAGGGAGAGTAATGTTTTAGATGACTGCTACACTGTGCTAAAGGGGGCTTATCACTCTGTTCCTCATGCTTCTCTGGGCCTGTCCGATCACTCACTAATCCACCTTCTTTCAACCTATAGGCAGAAGCTGAAGTGAGCCAAACCTGTAGTCAGTACCATGAAGAAGTGGACCACTGAGGCTAAAGAGAGACTTCAGGACTGCATGAAATTAACAGATTGGAGTGTGTTTGAGGATGTTAGAAGTAGCCTGGATGAATATACAGATACTGTGACACCCTATATCAGCTTTTGTAAAGACATCTGTGTTCCCACCAGGACTTGCAGTAAATGTAACAACGATAAGCCCCGGTTTAATGCCAAGCTGAAACAGTTGCGCTGGTCTAAACTAAACTAAGCCAACATATAAGCTGGATGGTGAAACAACCTTGCTGGGTACAATGACCATCCAAGAGTAAGGTTAAATATTTCAGTGATTGAAAACAGCCAACTAGAAGCTAAAATGCTGTCTAAATATATCATTACACAAAATAAATTATGTTAAAGCACTGGTGAGGGCACTCCTTAAAATACTGTGTACTGTGAAGCAAAATGCCTTCTTTGTAAACGTTTGGTCCCTTTGCGGGCATGTCACTAAAATATTATTAGTACATGTACAGTTTTGTCAATCTCTTTCATACTGTTGTAGATTAAGTTAGTAGTGCTGCATTATATTTACATTCATAAAGCATTTTTTTTTTAAACAAATGTTAGGTGGAAAATGATTTATGTGTTTCAAGATTTAAGATTCTGCAATGTGTTTCAGGCTTTTTCAATACAGAGTAGAATTACACACAGGGCATTATGGATGGGTCATGACTACATAGTGAAAGCCAGCTTTCATAATTAAAGTGTCAATAAAACAGTGTTTGAAAACAGGTTATTACTTACTCTGCAACTGAATATAAGCAAAGTCAAACAGTAATAACTGAAGCTCTGAGATTAGAGCATCAAATCATTATCAAAATAGATTAGTGACCTAAATGGATCAAATTAAAGGCCCAAACATATATGATGTAGCCTGAAAATAGAAAAAAAAACATGCTGTCGTAATATTCATCATACAATGAGGCTCATATTATTTACTTATTTTATTCTAAAGTACTATCCAGAACATAATTCTCCAGCAATAATGGAAAAAAGTTGTATTTATTTCATTACATTTTTATTTTCATTTCTTCTAAACACAATGAGAATTTATAAATCTGCAAATATGCCAGTATTTGTAAATAACCCAGTGTATTTCATTGGTGAGGAAAAAAGAAATATCCAAATATATGGTATTCTGTCAAATATTTGCATTATTACTATTTTATCAGCTACTTTGTTTTTTTTAATGAGCTGTTCATGGACTGTTATTGGACTGTCCTGAACTGTCTTGCTCAATATTTACAAAATGATGAAAAGAAAAGGATAACACAACTTTGTATGTTGGATGACAAATGTCGAGTGTGATATAAAGAAGCAACTGATCTTGCAATTTAATTAAACATTTCTGCAGCACGGACGAAAGAATTCTAAACACAAAATTCCATCCACAGCTGATATCGCAAACTGGACATTCAATAAACATACAAATGTCTGAATTTTGCCCTATTTTATCCATATACATATACACTTACAACATTTATCATTTTGCTTTTATACAGCACTTTCCAGAAAAGTTGGAAAAAGTGTCCTAATTCTTGTGCAAATAGGCCAAAGATACATAAATACATAGATACAAAATAGACACAGATTAAAGAGAGTTTTTTTCTTAGTTAGTGGCTCATATTTGTGGCACGATATAGAACATAATTACAAAACATAGTCTATGCTACAACAGAATCTACAGTATTGCTCTTTTCCTTTTGAGTTTGACTTCTGAATTTTGGCCTTTTAGTTTTTCTTAACTTAGCCAAGTCCAGTTCTGGTGGGCCAAAGCAAAGCTTTCAAAGCAAACCACAAGTACTGCAAAAAAACGGTTTGGTCCAACACTAAATAAATAAACTTGTTTGTTACTTTAACCTAAAGGTTCTGCTTCTAGGGATCTACTTGCTAGCTCATGAAGTCTGACTCCAAGCCTAAACTAATTCACATAAACAAGGATCCATTATCTACAAAATCATATAGATGTTAGAAACAGCCACATGATGTGATATTTTGATTTACAGGTTGGTTTCATTTGCTAAAACATGGACCATTACTTTGGATCTCTTTTTGAGCATTCTTACTATGAAATCTTTGAATTCTTTTGTGTTCAGGACATAAATGATGGGATTTACCATGGGAGGAATGGCACTTGATAGTGAAGTATTGATTATTCTAGCATTGGGATGAAGAGTAAAAGTTAATGCAGCAATATATGTACTTAAAATTGGGAAAAGAAATATTCCTACTAAAAACATATGAGAGAAACAAGTTTTCAGGGCTTTAAGCCGTCCCTCCCATGTTGTAATTTTACTTAATTCAAGAAAAATGCCTATATAAGATACGGTTACAGCAATCAATGGTACATAGATGAATAGTACAGTCCAAAGTTTTGCCATAACTGAATTTACTGTATTGTCATTACAAGCAGTTGTATAAATTGGTCCATGGTCACAAAAATAGCTTTTTACCTCATTGGTTTTACAGAAGGAAAGTCGGGTGATCAAACTTACCATCATGGTAACAACAACAGTGCTAAATGACCATACTGCCATTAAAGCTGCAGACATAAGGGAGTTATTCACAATGGCATGATATCTTAAAGGTAAGCGAATAGCAATATAGCGGTCATATGCCAGGACAACAAGAGTTAAAGACTGTACACTGATAAAGAAGAAAACAAAAAACATGTTTGCTAAACAAGCGTTGTAGGATATGTACTGTGAATTAAAAAGAAAGGTCTTAATTAAGTTGGGAATCAATGCATTTGTTTCACCGAAGTCTGCTAAAGCTAAATTAAAGATTGCCATGTACTTAGGAACGTGTAGACTTCGGTCTGTCAGTATCATGATAAGTACAAATGAATTCCCAAAAACAGCTACGAAATAGGTAACAAATAAAAATATGAAGTAATATTTGACGAAAGGTATTCCAGAAAATCCACTGATGTAAAAGTATTCGGGGCGCACAAATGACACATTCTGCAATAAACTGGAGTTCAAGGTGCTCATAGTAGCGTTGTTTCGGATCCTTCTTCTCTTCAACCTGAAATGAAACACACACAAAAAAGCAAGCAATGCACACAAGCATGTAATAATTTCAGTAAAATATTATTGTTTTTATAGAACTGTTCAGCATAAAGTCTGAATTTATTAACATATCACTGTTTTTTAAAGAGGTTTGTTTTACCTTCTTAATTAACCCACATGTATATGCAGAAAATATATGTGAACAGCGTTAATAGGTCAGAGTTATAAAATGTGTTAAACCACTTTTGGCTCTGGAACACTGAATTATGAACGACTCCAATATTGCTGTTTCAAATATATATAGAGAAACATCAGATCATTTTTTCTCATGTGAGAGGTCATACAATGCAGTCATGCTTTATTTTTGGCAACCCACATGGGTAGTGGGGGAACATGGCAACTATCATGAAAGGTAAATGGAGCCATGATCAGCTATGTAAAATTTCCCTATATATTTTTTTCTATGGCTCAAGTTCAAACAACAATTTTAAAATATGAAGAAAAGTCTTTAAAACAAATATATATTTATATATTTATGCATTTATTTCTCTTTTAAAGAAAATCACAGTCATCAAATGTGATTATATATATATATATAATGTATGTAATGGTGCGTGTGTGTGTAAGGTGTGAAAAACAGGGGTCCTGGGGGGTCTGGGATATATACAGTATATAATTTTATGAATTATGCTATCCACTGGGGGGGGTCATTGTTTAGCTGCTTCACACACAGTCAGTGAGTTTATATCTGCATCACTGGTCTGCCTCAGCGTGGTGCTCTAGCCAACTGATTTGCCCATTTGGTCCTTTATAGCCTAGCAATTGTATCTATGACTGGAATACCCCTGAAAAACTTTAAAATATGCCGCAGCATATTGGTAAATCTGAAAACTTGTCCAGTTTCCCAAGAGTTTGGTGGAAAGAGCGAACTGGTACTCATTTCATTGAGACAAAAGAGATGTGAAAAATTGTAATTAAATTTGTGGAAATATTTTGTTGCCATTAAAGCTATTGTGAATGAGTTAGCAGCCAGCCAATGTTGGAGTAGCCAGTCAACATGGGACGTTCTGAATACCAGTGGATATTTTGTACACTTCATTCCTGCTAAACATGATCAAAACAGGCTCTAAAAAACATTCTTTGTTGCTTATCCTTTTGATCTTTCATTCAAATTTTAACAAAAATCCAATCTTTATTTGAAGTACTATGATTAAAAAAAATAAATCTTATCAAAAAATAAATATTTTCTCAAATCTGCATGTGCCACAATTGTTGGTTCATTTAGTAGTTTGTGCAGCTTCCCTTTGCAAAGATAACAGCTCTGCGTCTTTTCCTATAATGCTTAATGAGACTGGAGACCACATAGCAAAGAATCTAAAACAATTCCTTCATACAGAACCTCTCCAGATATTTCAGATTCTGAGGTTCACACTGTGGACTCTCCTCTTCAGCTCATCTCACAGGTTTTCTATGGGGTTTAGGTCATGGGACTGGAGTGGTCACGGCAAAACCATAATTCTGTGGTCAGTGAACCATTTTGCGTTGGTTTTGAGGTGTGCTTTGTATCTTTGTTCTGCTAGAAGATCCAAACTATGACCCTTTGTACGCTTCCTGGCTGAGGCAGTCGGGTTTTGATTTTATTTCTGCTGTTACTTGATGGACTATCACAGACCCACAACCATACTTCACAGTAGGGATGAGGTACTTTGCTGCATCTTTGTGTCCATGCCAAACCCACCTCACCTTGTTTGTTGCCAAAAACCTCTATTTTGGTCTCATCTGACCATCATCTCGGGCAGATCCTGTAGAGGCTTTGTGAGCATGATGTGGGCTACAGCTGGAGCTGTGGAAGGTTGCAGCAAGGTCCAGATGATCTGTCTATCATTGGCCAGTGCTTCTGCCAAAAACTCAACCTTCTATTGTTGTTCCTGCTGCAGGACAAGAAGGGCCTGGTGTTGGGCCTGGGAGGGACTTCTCCAAACAGTACATTTTAGTAGAACACATTACTACTTGGGGACTATGTCACTGTGTAACTTAATAATGGTTTGTCTGAGGCCTACATACTGTTCACAGTTACAATGACAATGGTTTGTACTCATGCTATGTCAGATTTTCTTTGCTAGTTACTTCACCTGCATTACCAATTGATGTAATGCATTTATTAATCTAAATGGTTTTAACAGCTGACAATGTTAAGTCCCTAAGCTATCTTACAAATTCATCTTTTTGATACCTGACAAACTTGCTGCTGATGGAGCGTAGTGAAAAGTGAGCATATTAATGCATCTTTGTATCTGTTAAATGTTTTCAAAGACCTCATTTAGCAGGACGATGTTGGATTTTGCCTTCTATCTTGCAGGGCTGGAGTTTGAAACCACTGATATATAACACAGAGCCATGGATCCATAGACCAAAGTGTCAGAAGATTAAAAATAACCAAAAGAAAGAACAATATAAGCTACCTTGAAAGAGTAGGAAACAAACTACATAAACTCAACAGGGACTTGTATCAGGCACTATTTAAAACAAAGCTCCACAAAGCAAGAATTAAAAGCAACAGCTGTGTTCCAAAACCTGGGCCTCAGCAGAGAAAGGTGGGTCCTCAATAGCCCTTATAACGGCTCTTTGTATTACATGATGCAAAATTAAATGGTCTATCAAGACTGCTTTGTCATGTCCTCAGAAGAGGAGTCAGCATGAAAAAAGGTGGCAAAATACTGTTGATGTGAGTGATGTAATGTGGCAGGCAAAACACTGCGGTGAATGATGTAATGGGGCAAGAAAAATATTGTAGTGAATGATGTGGCAGGTAAAACATTAATATTTTGTAATTAAATGCTATCCTGCAAGCAAAAACATTTAACTCAGTGAATGTGCATGCATTCAAAGGATCCTTCTGATTGGAGCAGCTTTCTATGATGTAGTGGCCTAAACATGCATTAAACTGTAGCCTTGCTTTTATAACCTAGCTGAAATATATATGTCTGTTGCATTCCCCTTTGAATGTGATTGGGATGAAGGTGGAGTATGTAATGAGGGATGGAAGGGAATGACATGGACAACAGCAGTGCCACTTTAGACAATGTTTTACATTCCAGAAAAGGGTGTATTGCACAATATTCACCAAACGTGGGATTCAGTGCAGCAGAGGCTAGTTGACAATGAATAATAAGATAAAAAAGAGCTATGCAGTGTCAATAGTCCAACATCGAAACGAAGAACCTCAGATATATGATGGATAACAAGTAGTAAACATGAAAAGCAGAAAGAGCCACGATAGAGCCAGGGCAGGACTGAACCACAGGCAGATCTAGAAGGTGTGGGGCTGTCATTCACCACGTTGCTAAAGCAAGTTCCTAGTAAGCTTGTCATTATTGGCATTAGTGTTTCTGATTCTGATACATTCTTTCTCACACCTTGAAAATGAAAGGTCAGAAATTATTCCTGGCTTAGACACATGGTTCTAGGAAAATGTTTAAATTGATGTAGAAGGAGAACCTTTACATTATGCCTACAGGCTATAGTATGCAAGATTAACCCCTTAAAATCTCAGGATTACCGCATACCATGGCTTATTATTCAGTGACTAATGCAAACTGGTTGAGCTATTCTTAGTTTATAGAAGTGTATAATAAAACTTTGGGCCTATCAGGGGGCCCTGGCCATGTAAGGGGTTAAGCTGACTAGCATGCAAGATAGCTAATTAGCCAAATTAAACACTTTGGAATGTTATTAAGATGGTTCCAGCTGTATCAAGCAGGTGGAAAATTAACTAGAATTAGAACCATTAGTTCCATTGGTTCCTGCTTGGGTCAGTTATTGTTCTTCATTGTGCAGTGGAGAAACGGCCCTATTTTAATGACTAAAAAACTTTCTACATTTTTTGATTGGTTTGCAGTTACTTAATCTTAACACCCTGATATAGCCTAAAAAAGCAGCAAATAAAAAGTGACAAAATTACAAATCTCATCACACATCAAGACCTGACTGTGTAGTGAACCCTCATGCCTTATGGTCACTTTAATATCTAGATAATGCATGCATGCATGTGAGTGTGCAGTGACTTTTACTGAACTGAGTGCCTGAGCTAAATTACACTATCCACCTGGAGTACTTCAGTTCACATAAGTGTTACCTTTGTTCTATCAAACTGTGTGGTCGCTGGTTTAATGTCTTGTTGATAAACACAAATCTGTTGTGCCACAACACAGGCTTCTTAAGACTGTTATCCTGATCCACTACAGAACTCATTAAAAACTCTACAACTATTCACTATATGTTTGATATGTTAATCTTAACTCAATATTAGTTCTCAATAGTATTAGGAAGCACATTATAATTTTTTTTCTTTGTTTTTTCTTTACATTAAGCATAACAGTTGTTATAAACAGACCTTTTTACACCTGAACTTTCTGTATTTGACATACAATGGCCGCAAATAAGTAGAAGACATGACTTAACCTGGCCAGTAGGCTGTTTGACTAAGATTGGCTGATCTAGTGATAAATTTACCGTTCATAAAATTGGCAAAATGATTATCCAAAAAAATAAATAAATAAAAAAAAATCACAACTGACAAGACAAATTAGGCATCATCATGATTTCACCCGTCCTAAATTTTTAGCTTATGCTAAAAATACTGTGACTTATTTGTACAACATAGCCAATGGATTCATATATTAATTCAAGGATTCCCACACTTTTTTCCTAAGGACCTACTAGATGAGTTTTTCTTGAATCCTACTACAATAAATCTGAACCAGCTTCTCAGGTTCTTCAGGAATATATAAATATCTGAAACAGAGTTTACAATCTCCTACATTCCATTTCACAGAAAACCCACATGTACTCCATCATTTTCTGTTTCAACATGATGTCAGTAACCTGGTGCTGTAAAACAAACCACTCTAGTGAAGTTTAGAAAAGTTCACTTTAATGCAGTTTTCCAACTACAGTATAAGAAGATACTTTACTGTAAAATCTTGACCAACTCATTCAGCTCTGTGGATACTTATCAAGCCCTTCTTTAGCTCAATACTATGTATTTATACAGGAGAATTACTAAACTGCACAGTGTTGTGGCCGTAACCAGGGTGAGAAGTGGAGAGCACTGGTTAAATTGTTCAGTGTCAGTTTGATAAAACCTGGGCTCTTACGCCGGATCTCTTTTTGAGCATTTTCAAAATGAAGCCTTTGAATTCCTTTGTGTTCAAGACATAAATAATGGGATTTAGCATAGGTGGAATGGCACTCGATAGTGAAGTACTGATTATCCTAGCATTGGGATGGAGAGAAAAAGTTAATGCAGCAATGTATGTACTTAATACAGGGAGGAAAAATATTCCTACTACTAACAGATGGGAGATACAAGTCTTGAGCGCTTTAAGCCGTCCAGCCCATGTTGTAATCTTTCTTAATGCCAGCAAAATGCCTAAATATGATACAATTATTGCAATCAAGGGTGCATAGATGCATAGTATGGTAGAAAGTTTTGCTATAACTGAATTTATGGTGTTGTCATTACAAGCAATTGTATAAATTGGTCCATGGTCACAAAAATAGCTTTTCACCACATTGGTTTTACAAAAGGAAAGTCGAGTGATCAAACCTACCATTGTGCCAATCACAACAGTGCTAAATGACCATACTACCATTACAGCTGCAGACATGATGGAGTTATTCACAATGGCATGATATCTTAAGGGCAAGCAAATGGCGATAAAACGATCATATGCCAGGACAACAAGAGTTAAAGCTTGTACATTGCTGAAGAAAAACATAAAAAACATGTTTGCCAAACAAGCGTTGTAGGATATGTACTGTGAATCAAAAAGAAAGGTCTTCATTAGGTTGGGAATCAGTGCATTTGTTTCACCAAAGTCTGCCAAAGCTAAATTAAAGATTCCTATGTATTTAGGAACGTGTAGACTTTGTTCAGTAAATATCATGATAAGTACTAATGAGTTCCCAAACACAGCGATGAAATAGATAAAAAACAAAAAAATGAAGTAATATTGGACGAAAGGTATTCCAGAAAATCCACTGATGTAAAAGTACTCAGGATGCACAAATGACATGTTTTGCAATAAACTGGAGTTCAAATCACTCATGATGCTGTGTCTTCAGCCTGGAGAGAAATACACAAGAAAGTAAGCAACACACAAGCTTTTTTGGCCTGTAGTTCTTTGTGTGGTATTTCATGATAAAGTTACTATTTATTAACACTAGCACTGTTTAATCTTATTTTTGCCTAACAAATCTAAACAGTTAGATATTATAAAACCAGGAGAATCAACACTGTACCACTTACGATTAAATGGTGTAGATCTTTGGGACTGTGGAACTGCAAGCACTGAATGTTGAACGAGGACCAGGATATCCATGCTTTAAATATAGAGACATCATACTGTATTTTCTCACGTGGGATCTCCTCATACAATGTGCTGATGCTTTTTTTTCTAAGTCTACCCAGGTGGCTAGCCTTCTGTGTGTCCTAACATTGTTTTCTTCTTTTCTTCTTTTATGTGTGTTTTTATTGTTATTTTTCCATTATGGCATTTCAATATTTATAATGTATTTCTTTATAAAATGACACTAAACATTTTTGCTTAAAAATAATTTGTAAGCACACTATGAAGTACTATGAAAATGTAAAAGGTGATGGTTATTCCATCATAAACATTTTAAAATTTTATTTGCCATATACAATCATATGCAAAAATGTGAACACTCCCAGCCAAATTACTAGTTTTGTTAATTTTATGTAATTTTTAGTAAACAGAGTGTCTTACAGGAACAAACTTAAATATTGCATATTTCTGCTAACTGTAGTGTGAAATCTCTTTTTATTTGTTGAGGTTAACATATATATGTGTGTGTATACAACAAACGTATACAATATAAAATTTTCTATTATTTCTGCACAGCAAATAAACAGTAATTGTACCACTAAATTGGGTAGAAGACTCTTCTCTGTAGAGGATGCCCCACAAGCTCTAATCCAAAAGTAAGACACAGCCTGACAAGTATCCTAAACAATGGCACAGGCCATATAAAGTAAAATTATTGTACAATTGGAACAAGAGTGGAACAATCTGTGCATGTCCCTGCTCACAGCCCTGTATCATGGTTCCAATTTATACTCTCTGTGGTATTACTATAGATTTTGATACGTGATTTTGCCAAGTTATTTCAAATTATTTACAATTTTACTGGAATTCTATTGTGTAATGACATGTGTCTACTTTCACATCTCCTGAAGTGCACAGCGATCAATCAATCAGATGTGTTGTCAATAATAAATGTGAGGTTGTTGTTGTGGCACCGTCCCACCAGACCAATTACTGTGGTGTCATCAGAAATCTTGATGATGTGGTTGCTGTTGAATCTAGCCACAGTCATTTGTAAACAGATGGTACAGCAGTGGGCTCAGGTAGCAGTTCTGCGGAGGCCCTGTGATGAGGATATGAGGGTTTTATTTTCAGTTCTCACAACTTTGAATCATATGTTACAGATATAATTATTCTAGTAAATTAGGTTTGTCCAAACTACCTGTTGGGAATTTTTTAATAGAAGAGAATTAGTTATTTAATAGAAGAGAAAGTTATTCTACTTGAATATGCTAGAATATTCAAGTAATACATTTTTAGTATACAGCATCAGTAATACAGTATGTGGTAATAAGGAAATTTGAAATAGTACCATTACTACTATGTAATGCCACTTTAAATCAGTGAAAAAGTAGAACAAACATCTTAAACTTTTGTTTCATCCCTATAAATAAAATGTATAATGAAGATCCGAGAATGTTTTTCAGTTTAAAATGATTAGTTATGCTAGGTTTCCTTTTGACAAGACGTATTCATTAAATGAATCCACCTCTGGCTGAAATGATCTGCATTGTTAATTTTCAGCCTTCTTTAAAGCTTCATACTAATTATTTGAATCCAGTGTCATTACATAGTACTAGCATCATATTTGAATTGTTATTCATGTATCAACAAAATTGCTATCATATTATTAAAAACATGGCATAGGGTTGTCCCTGTATTCCTGGCCTGAATGATGGCCCCAGTCCGGCCCTGCTTACATCCCACCACTTCCAAGATGACTAACAGATTTATCTCCTCCTCTATACTTCCAAGAAGACTACAAACAGCCCTTTGCTAACAAAAGCACGTTAGGGAAGGGCTGTTTGTAGTCTTCTTGCAAGTATAGAGGAGGAGATAAACCCGTTAGTACAGCTCCTATCCTACCTCAGTGGCAGCATGCCTCCCATTTAAGAGTTGTTGATGGCACCCTTCAGTGAATATGATGGTTTAGATATAAATGTGAGAGTTTCATATTACAATATACCAATTATTTTAATTACCTCTTGAAATAGTCATGGTGGCAAAGAGCATAAGAATATGTAACACTTGAGACACTGTGAGGATTTTTTTTTATACCGGAATGTTCCCAGAAATACTGCCATACTGCCATGAGTGCCCATAGCAGTGCCTGTTACCCTGAATGAAGTTTCTATTGTGACTGAAACCCGACAAGGATTTCACTCTTAATCTCTATTGCTCTGCTATTAAGCAGAGTACTGCATCATTTCTAAATATGTACAAACCAGATCCTTCTGCTGGAGTACCATTGCTACCCAGTGGACCCAACACTGGATCTGCTGCCCCCAAAAAAGATTCAGCCCATCTAGCAATTGAAATGGATCTTATCCTGGTCTCTGTGCTTGTCACTGACTCGGATCACTCTGATGTGTGTCATTTCTCATGTATCCAGTAGTGTTGTAATGAGAGATTAAGCCAACTTGGAGATGAAGTGAATGCAGAGTTTAATTTTGAGCAGTACTGCATGAAAACGACATATAATGATAGTGACATATGCAGATGTTACCATTCAGAAATAAGATCCTATGGCATTACTTTAGCTAGCTCCTTTATGGTCTCTCCTTGGGGCACCCTTGGTCACATCTCATTTTGAAAAATCAGAATGCACTGCAACAGGATATTATCACCACTTCAAATTATGTAAAATTTGGTGTCTAAAGGCCTCATTAATTTTGCCCGCTGGTAGCATAGATATATCGTGATATTAGTAACAATATGAGATTCTAACTGAATATTAATTTCCTCCCCTGCAGTGAATATATATTTTCAATTAATTTAGCTATCAACTTATTTACATTACAATATCCAACATTGATCACTAATATGTTTTAATTTTATTTAGTTTTTCCTGCACAGTTGATACCATTACACCAAATCTCAAATGTTTGCAAATTACCATGACCGATATGAGGTGTTTTGAGGTGTGGTTTAGTGCAGGATGCAGCTGGGAAGACGTTTGATTTGTGGGAGTTGCTGGGTAACAGAAAGGTGATTTCACACCTGTGCTTTGTTTGCTCACTGTGTATTTATTCCTGCATATTTTCATGAAGCTGCACATGTTCCTGCAGTTTTGTGCTATTTTTTTCATCATGGTTACACAAACCTCCACAGTTCTATACCAACCCCTTGATTCTAGGTATCATATAGTTTGTCTCATTTATGTTCATGGAAAATGATAAAATTAGACACTGGCAACTTTATAATTAACAGTTCTATTTCTAATGTCTGGATAAGTGGCTGAAAATGTACAGAAAGATGCACATTGGTTAACAATCAAAGCAAATATTCAGTATAGAAAATAAAGTTTAGTATGAAGGAGTATTGAAGACACCATTATTACCTCAATTAAAAATAATAAAAATAATTAGCTGTTTAGAAGTTGTTATTCTCAATCTCTGCTGGTGTTGTGTTTTGGTCTGGACCTGGGGATTCTACAAAGGCACAAGATGGGGACACCAGGGAGAATGCTACTTCTAATTTTGGCTGGTCACAGTAGAGGCTGTATGATAAACAGTGGTGTTTTGATGATCTGCCAATCGATAACACATTTAGGCCGACAAGATGCACAACACACACAAAAAGAAACTGTCCTAAAAGGAATTTTCTCACATCTCAACCCATGTCATTCATGCAATGTTAAATCTACATCTGCTCTAGAGAGACCAGTGTGAGAACAAAATGATCAAACTGGCCAAACTGGAAACCTACTGACTGAACCTACTCCAGTGGTGTTCATATCAAATTACAATGTGATATACAACCTTTACAATAGCATTTGAGTATTTGTGCATCTCTGATTAGGTTCAGTTCAGTTATGTGACTTAAAAAGCACGTAAATAGGCACAGTTGTCTAATAAAAGGAAACAAACTCTGCATAGAAGATAACACTAGTAATACAATTTTAAGAAGTAATTGTTAATAATTATCAATTTTAAGAAAATGTTTGTCAGCTGTTACTGATGTTTTACAAATGTAACAGATGTGTTTTGTCAGTGTCAGCATTAATGTCCTAAAAAACTGTATAAATTGTTGAAATACTAACATTACAGAAAATATTGCATGATAGATTATGCTTCCTTAATGTACAGTTTGCAATTTACAAGCTAGTAGCAATCTGAAGTCACAAGAGGGTGCATCTAAATTACTCCAAGTCACAGTTGAGACTGAATGACAACCTAAAAACATGCAAGCCTACAAATGGCAAATAAATAAATAAATAAATAAAATTAAGAAATATAATGCATACATACATACATACAAACATGCTGTGTTATTGCAGAATAAGATAAAGGTTATTGCCTTATGTAGCACTGATGTACCCACTTAAAGCCCCTTAAGCAATATTATGCATTTAACTGCCATAACTATTTCAATAACATTTATACGCATGGCATTTTGTTTTTATTCAGCTCGTTTAACTTTTGATGCCATTTTCAATATTTTACTTCGGATCTCTTTGGTTCTAAAACAGTATATGAAAGGATTTACTAAAGACGGGCCAAGAATTGTCCCAAGTCTCAGCCCATGCCGTTCCTCCAGTGTTAAAACTACACCTACTCTTGTGAGAACTGTTATAATAAATGAAGGGCCATAATAGCAGATTACAACTATCAAGTGACTGAAGCAAGTATGAAACACTTTTTGCTTGCCACCATTTGAGGCCATTTTGACAACAACACCAACTATCCAACAATAAGATCCACAGATGAGCGTGAATGTTC